TTATTCCTTCCTAAGTGGAGCACTCTGCATTTGTCCTTATTAAACTTCATGCTGTTTACTTCAGACCCTTTCTCCAATTTGTCCAGATCATTTTGAATTATGACCCTGTCCGCTAAAGCAGTTGCAACCCCTCCCAGCTTGGTATCATCTGCAAACTTAATAAGCGTTCTCTCTGTGCCAATATCTAAATCGTTGATGAAGATATTGAAGAGTGCCGGTCCCAAAACAGACCCCTGCGGAACCCCACATGTTATACATTTCCAGGAGGATAGTGAACCTTTAATAACTACTCTCTGAAAAGGGTTATCCGGCCAGTTATGCACCCACCTTATAGGAGCCTCATCTAAGCTGTATTTGCCTAATTTATTGATAAGAATAGCATGCGAGACCGTATCAAACGCCTTACTAAAGTCTAGATATACCACATCCACTGCCTCTCCCCTAGCCACAAGACTCGTTATCCTATCAAAGAAAGCTATCATCCCTAAGGGTGCATTGGAGGTGTTAGTTGACTTTCAGCACTGTGTGAGCAGGAGGACACAAGCTGCTTCCAGCCACAGGAGGTGGGGGGAGGTCGAAGGAAGATCTCTGCAAAGATATGGGCCAGGTCACCCCTTCCCCTCCCGTACCTCCCAAGCAGCTGTAAGCAGCTCCCATCCCTTCTCTCCCGCACCATGCTGAACAGGTGCTTCTGGCCGTATTCTAGTGTGAACCTTAGCAGAAATCTGGGAAGATAGGGCATGTGACTACATGCCCCACCATGTGTTGCCTCAAGAAGATGCTGTACCAGGTAAGATGGGTCCATCTTGCAGGCCCAGCCAGGCATGGAGGACAGAAAGAGCTTTGTATGAAGGGTTTGTGTGTCACCTCCCTCTGTGAACTCTAAAGCCTTAAAGATAAGATGGTTAATAAAAGCTATTTCTTATTAACAGGGCCCTGTCAACTTAACATCAATTTAAACATTTTTCTGATTGATTGCTATTGAACTTGCTTGAATACAAATAATTTTGCCTGATGTCCTGGACTTAGCATACAGATGTATGGTTACCCTACCTATCTCACATAAGGGACTTAATTAATTAATATCTGTAAAATGCTTAGAGCTTCTTGGATGAAATGGACAGTTAAAAGTTAGTGTTACGATTATAAATGCATTAAAATTGGGGCAACTATATTACTATAATATTATTATAGAAGTAAAAACCTCAGAACAGTTGAATAAAAGAGCCAATGCACAGGCTGCC